TCACGCCGAAGACCCGGTTCGATTCCCCACATGAGTACAATGTGTTAAGCCCATTTCTGGTGTCCCCGCCGTGATATTGCTGGAATAGTGCTAAAAGCGGCGTGAAACTAAACTCAGTCAGTCAGTCAGACAAAGCTTCAATTCCAAAAGCCTCGTGGTTCCAGAGGGCATGCCGAAAATGCCGTAACACTTGAAAACGGAGACATTTGATAGTCAAATGAAGTATCTTTATTACAACTGAAATATTCCTAAACGAATTATATGTTATACAGCATACCACAATTGATATACGTCAATTTGTTTTAGGATAGAGGCATAATGTGTAAGAGAAGTGGAAATAAATTCATGTGCACACATGTTAAAGACACCATATGTGGGACCATTGACACAAGGTTTCAGATCCGTAGTCCTTTGTAGTTTCAGAGGAGTTGCCATCAGTGCAGTGATGACTGACAACACGCCGCGACATACGTTAGTTTGATTTTTATTCAGGAGAGCTTGAAACATAACGGACAGATATACTTTTTCTTTCATTTAACCGTTCAAAAATCCTGTAGAATTCAAAATGCAGTTCTGGTTTCTGTTTTGACATCAATTTGCAATACTGTTGCTCGTCAGAAAAACAACTCCTGTGATGATATGACGTAATGTAGGTGTGCTACTGTTTTGTGAAACGTGACTCTGGTTAAAAATATAATTAAACCTAATAATGTTCATCAAGGCCCACGACCTGCACATCCTTACACGCCTAAAGGGATACAACTCTCCCAGGTACTGACTTCCGGTGCAGCATCAGCAGCTATTTGCTCGCTCCACAGTGTATGATCTCAAAGTGCAAACCAGATATAGTGCGCTGTACATTCGTGCTTTGGTTGATAGATATGTCGTCTGAACAGGCACGCTCGATCAAAAACGTTTATTCAAAAGACAAAGCGTAGTATTATTTCACATGCCAAAGGCCACGCTACAACATTAGATAACTTCGATATAACATTTACAGTAATTATTAGCGGGATATCTGCATGGTAATGAAAATAGAACTTGTTTCACTTCTTGCGCATCGAGCGAAATTCGGCCAGCTTGTGCCCTTTCGCTTCTCCTCACATGTACCGTTATGTTAGCCCAGAGAGTTATGAGTATTCTACTCGTAATAGATTTTACAATGTATGTGTGAAGTTCCATGTTCCAAAGTTGTTCGCTCGCAACAATGCAGCATCACTGTACTGGATTATAGCGGACACTGTTTGTTTTCCCTGTATGGAATATACCGCGTAACTGAATAACGATCTGACTGAGAACTTATTCATAGGTGGACATTATTGACATTTTGGGACACATTCAACGTATGTATATATTGTACTGGTATGTCTTCAAAGTATGTTATCTCAAATCGCGAAGGAATGCATGAAATTGCTTAAATAATTGAAAAAAGATATTAACTGCAACTTTACAGGATTTTAATCATCTGTTCTTAGTTTGTTGTCTCAGACACATGTCAACAAACTCGATATTGGAAAATTCTATCTTTGGTGAATATCGTTATTAAATTGTAACTATTGGTTCATATAATCAATGATATATTGACCGAGTTTACAGTCTATGCATACACTAGTGATTATGATGTGATGCAAATGTGTTTGTTTTCATTAATATTCATAACATACTGGCATTTATAATATAGTGTGATGTATTGTTGCCTTCTGCAACAAGAAGCCTGAGTTTATCTATGCCGTGTAGGAGGTCTTCGATGCCACCGCTTAGCTGGTACTTGCTGGTTTTGACACCAGTTACAGCTTTCAGAAATTTGTCATGTGCAAGAGTTTTTCCAACTTTGTGTTGTCTCAACTGTCTCACGTGACCACTGCAAATCTTAGTAGCATCAACGACTTGAACTGCCCTTTCTTGTTCGTCTGTCTAGGTAACCTGTTCTAATTCACGAATTTCCAAACTGTTAAATTCTTCACAACTTTCCAAAATACGAGTTTCGTAAAATGAGAGTCGGATGCACCTCAAACCCCATGTATCAACATCCCCTAACTTTCCACCCGTACAGGTATTGATTTTCTTTCCATTAACACACGTTTTCTAAGTGTTAACTTGCTCTGGGACAGTGTTAGCAATCATGTCCAGCATTTGCATAATGCAAGCAGGTACACGTTGGTTGTCTTCAAGATGGCCTGTCATTCTGTCCAGAACAGTCCTATCAGGAACTGCAAAGTTTATTTTGGAATCATCAGGAACATACATACGCCGCTTTTAGCAGTATTCCAGCAATATCACGGCGGGGACACCAGAAGTGGGCTTCACACATTGTACCCATGTGGGGAATCAAACCTGGTTTTCGGCGTGACGAGCGAACGCTTTAACCACTAAGCTACCCCACCGCCCCGATAACATGAACTAACTAGATACCGTACAGTGATTTGTATTAAAAGCGCTATCAACCAACTGTATCAACTTGTACGGTGATGAAGCATAGGAGGGTAACGTTTACCTCTCGTGTAAAGAAACGAGTACTCTTTGTTAGGAATATTATACACCATTTGAAAGCTTATTTATAAAATATTTTCATATGTTGTCTAATTGTACCAAGAATCTGCGAAATTAAGGCATATTGTGGCTTTATATCCGATGTTTTCTGCGAATGAGCAAAATCGGCGATGCGCTTTGGATATTTGAAAGAATTTAGAGGGTCATTATTCAAATAATTAGCAGTGAATTATAGTTTATAAGAGTAAGAATAAGTATTTCGCTCATTTTAGTACTTGCACTATACTCACAGTGATCCAAACCAGAGAAAAAACAGAGCCCATGACAATATTTCAACCAAAGCACGAACGTACAGCGCATTATATCCGGTTTTGCACTGTATGAAATCATACACTCTGCGCTCTAAGCATCCCCTTGACAATCATCACAAAACTGTCCACACCAAATCGTCATCACAAGACTAATAGTGGCTTTGATGCACAACAAACATCTAACATTAATGTCAGGGATTATTCAGTCTCGATGTTTACACAGAAATGTATTCTCTCGGAGCGTTTTTGTGCTAGAATTCTAAAACGCAATTCATCATTTTACGTTGAAGATACTTATTTCTACGTAGATGATATTTACGTCTACGTAGATGATATTTACTTCCACGTAGATGATATTTACTTCTACGTAGATGATATTTACTTCTACGTAGATGATATTGACTTCCACGTAGATGATATTTACGTCTACATAGATGATATTTACTTCTACGAAGATGATAATTTTATTTCTACGTAGATGATACTCTACTTCTACGTAGATGATATTTTACCTATACGAAGATGATACTTATTTCTACGTAGATGATACTCTCCTTCCACATAGATGATATTTACTGCTACGTACATGATATTTACGTCTACGTAGATGAAACTCTCCTTCCACGTAGATGATATTTACTTCTACGAAGATGATTCTTATTTCTACGTAGATGATACTCTACTTCTACGTAGATGATATTTACTTCTACGAAGATCATACTTATTTCTACGTAGATGATACTCTCCTTCCACGTAGATGATATTTACTTCTACGTACATGATATTTTACGTCTACGTAGATGAAACTCTCCTTCCACGTAGATGATATTTACTTCTACGAAGATCATACTTATTTCTACGTAGATGATACTCTCCTTCCACATAGATTATATTTTCCCTCTACGAAGATGATACTTATTTCTACGTAGATGATACTCCTTCCACGTAGATGATATTTACCTCTACGAAGATGATACTTATTTCTACGTAGATTATACTCTACTTCTACGTAGATGATATTTACTTCTACGAAGATGATACTTACTTCTACGTAGATGATATTTCTCCTTCCACGTAGATGATATTTCCCTCTACGAAGATGATACTTATTTCTACGTAGATGATACTCTCCTTCCACGTAGATGATATTTACTTCTACGTACATGATATTTACGTCTACGTAGATGAAACTCTCCTTCCACGTAGATGATATTTGCTTCTACGAAGATCATACTTATTTCTACGTAGATGATACTCCTTCCACATAGATTATATTTTCCCTCTACGAAGATGATACTTATTTCTACGTAGATGATACTCTCCTTCCACGTAGATGATATTTACCTCTACGAAGATGATACTTATTTCTACGTAGATTATACTCTACTTCTACGTAGATGATATTTACTTCTACGAAGATGATACTTACTTCTACGTAGATGATACTCTCCTTCCACGTAGATGATATTTCCCTCTACGAAGATGATACTTATTTCTACGTAGATGATACTCTCCTTCAACGTAGATGATATTTACTTCTACGAAGATGATACTTATTTCTACGTAGATGATACTCTCCTTCCACGTAGATGATATTTACTTCTACGAAGATGATACTTATTTCTACATAGATGATACTGAGTACGAATCTATTGAAACGATGTTTTCTCTCCATAGTCTTCAGACCGTAATATCTTTTGAAGTTAAAGTATATTACTGTTTATATTGTGACTTTTCTGTACTTCCGTAATTTAACTATCATCATTAAAATATAAACAAACCCCAAATAAATTCAAGTATCGTCCATTTAGAAGTAAAGTATAGCCTACATAGTTGAAAGTATCTTCTTCCTAGATCATACATTTTACATTGTTTCAGTCTGTGGTACGAACCCGCTTCCATGGTATTTTATCAGGTACAAGTTAAATTGCAATTTGGGAGACACGTTTCTCCTACGGTCGTTTGAGAAAGAATTTGATTTGAAAAATCGAGTAGTTAGCAATTCCTGGGTACCAAAATGTTTCATTAGGAATGTTGAACAAGTACCCGTCGTTGAACCTAATCAAGGGGCCCAGTAGGGTTGCATTCTCCACACGCAGTGTACCACCACCACGCCCCTTGGTGAACAGCGGGGCAGTTCTTTCCAGTGTCGTCGTCATTGTCGACGTCAAAGGTGCTGAATTTCTTCCTTCATTGGCGTCAAGCAGTCCCCAATATCATGCGGAGAGGCTTGTGGCCATGTAAGCCGAAATTCATCACATAGCCCGTTGATTCAGCCCCAACTGAGAATTTACTGTAAGTACGTTGTCTGTAAGGAATTGAAATGCAATCAGGTGTTCGTTAAGAGCATGTTTTATTTGGAATTGAAATGCAATCAGGTGTTCGTTAAGAGCATGTTTTATTGGAATTGAAATGCAATCAGGTGTTCGTTAAGAGGATATTTTATTGGAATTGAAATGCAATCATGTGTTCGTTAAGAGGATGTATAATTGGAATTGAAATGCAATCAGGTGCTCGTTAAGAGCATGTTTTATTAGAATTGAATGCAATCAGGTGTTCGTTAAGAGCATGTTTTATTGGAATTGAAATGCAATCAGGTGTTCGTTCAGAGGATGTATTATTGGAATTGAAATGCAATCAGGTGTTCGTTAAGAGCATGTTTTATTGGAATTGAAATGCAATCAGGTGTTCGTTAAGAGCATGTTTTATTTGAATTGAAATGCAATCAGGTGTTCGTTAAGAGCATGTATTATTGGAATTGAAATGCAATCAGGTGTTCGTTAAGAGCATGTTTTATTGGAATTGAAATGCAATCAGGTGTTCGTTAAGAGGATGTTTTATTGGAATTGAAATGCAATCAGGTGTTCGTTAAGAGCATGTATTATTGGAATTGAAATGCAATCAGGTGTTCGTTAAGAGCATGTATTATTGGAATTGAAATGCAATCGGGTGCTGGTTAAGAGCATGTATTATTGGAATTGAAATGAATAATGCATATTACAGTCTTCACTGATCGGAAAAGTGATCGCAACTAAAAAATACAACGAGGATGTATGTATATAAGAATGAGGGAGCGATAAGCCAAATGTAGCCCTCATTGAAATATGTAATGACTTAACTATAAATGTCGGGGATTGGCGTCACTGGACATTTTGGTGTGAACCGCTAAAGATGTATATAATACTGATTTATAGGGATAGGGGTCACTGGACATTCTTGTGTAGACTGGTGGGCACCTGGGAAGATGGACATAATACTGATTTATAGGGATAGGGGTCACTGGACATTCTTGTGTGGACTGATAAACACCTGGGAAGATGGACATAATGCTGATTTATACGGTTAGGTGTTACTGGACATTCTTGTGTGGACTGATAAACGAATGGGAAGATGGATATAATACTGACTTATAGGCATAGGGGTCACTGGACATACTTGTGTGGACTGATAAACACCTGGGAAGATGGACATAATACTGATTTATACGGTTAGGTGTTACTGGGCATTCTTGTGTGGACTGATAAACACCTGGGAAGATGGACATAATACTGATGTATACGGTTAGGTGTTACTGGACATTCTTGTGTGGACTGATAAACGAATGGGAAGATGGATATAATACTGATTTATGCGGTTAGGAGTTACTGGACATTCTTGTTTGGACTGATAAACGCCTGGGAAGATGGATATAATACTGATTTATAGGCATAGGGGTCACTGGACATTCTTTGTGTGGACTGGAAGGCACCTGGGAAGATGGACATAATACTGACTTATAGGGCTAGGGGTCACTGGACATTCTTGTGTGGACTGGTGGGCACCTGGGAAGATGGACATAATACTGACTTATAGGCATAGGGGTCACTGGACATTCTTGTGTGGACTGGTGGGCACCTGGGAAGATGGACATAATACTGACTTATAGGATAGGGGTCACTGGACATTCTTGTGTGGACTGGTGGGCACCTGGGCAGATGGACATAATACTGACTTATAGGGATAGGGGTCACTGACATTCTTGTGTGGACTGGTGGGCACCTGGGAAGATGGACATAATACTGACTTATAGGGCTAGGGTCACTGGACATTCTTGTGTGGACTGGTGGGCACCTGGGAAGATGGACATAATACTGACTTATAGGGCTAGGGGTCACTGGACATTCTTTGTGTGGACTGGTTGGCACCTGGGAAGATGGTCATTATAACGCCCCAGTGACATAGGCGTCACAGAGCATCATAGAACTGATCGCTGAACATAAGTAGTCAGGTGTATTATTCTGACCTGTAAGGATAAGTGTCTGCCGGCATCCGAGTGTGGACTTCCGCTAGGAGATTCTGTGGGTGCGCATTGGTCAAATAGTGGATGTTGTCTAGACCCAACCAGAACTCCCCCTTTAAATCTCCAAACCCTTCCTTGTAGGAGGTCCAGTTTCTTGAGAAGTCCAGAGTTCCTGCGAGGCGCACCATAAAGTATGTTCTGGTTCCCCAAGGATCGCTTTCACAGAGCACTTGGAAGGGCTGCGGGGACCCATAGGGCTGGATTGTGGCAACTTGGTCCGGGGGGAAGAACCCCCACTCCTCACCCTCTGCACAATCTGAATTTAAGAGGTTAGAGGTAAGTCTTAGTGAGTAAGAAATGTTTAATGCCGCTCTCAGCACGCAGCTCTTAGCACGGAAACAAGGGCTTAATCTAACTCTAAACTTTTAACACTCGATTTAAGATACATACCTTGGAGATTCCGGTTGCTCTGTAGCGTAATTGGAATATGACACCACAAGCAAGCAAAATATACTTTGCATTAGACCTTCCCAAAATTTGAGCTTCAAGTGAGACAAAGATGTTTGATTCATGAGCAGAGGTTCATGGCATAATCGCCTAAGGGACTTTCAGCAGAAAAGTTCTTGTAGTATTTATATTTAGGTACCTATCATCAGTCGTTCACAACGATGTCCGACATAGCCACCAAAGCATGTGCAGTTTCCACTTCCAGGTACAGGAACACCCCCGTTCAGACAAGACAGATTTAGCTGAAAAGATAACAGGGATGATTGAGTTGGGTTCAAACCCCGTTTGAACTGAATTCACGCCGAGTCCTACCGAGGGAGTCAATAGTGCAGGGGCTTGTGTAATTCCGTGGGAATTTCATGTTAATTTTGGAAACCAATGCTAATTGTAATCACTATAGTGTATTGATTCAGGGATAAACATGGTTCCATTTATTCTGTTTGCTATAAGTGTCATTAGGGTGGGGTGATTGAATATGAGTTCCCAGAAATTCCTTGCGACACCATTTCGAGAAAAACATGTTTTCATAACCTATCACAACATAGTCATGTAGCATATCCAAAGGCCGCTTATGATGCATGATATAGAAATAACCACATAATATGCTTCTAATTTCAATTTGGTGACATAAAATATGACATAACCAAATCTGTTGCGAAAATGTTGTATTTTCAAACATGTATAACTCGTCCACAAAAAGACTTCCCGTGCATGAATTTTACACCAGTTTAGATAAAGGGAATGTCTATACAGCCAAGTGGATACTTTTAGATAACGGAGACGTCGAGCGCGATGGTGACGACGTAGCACGGTCCCGACGTCGGGTCTCCTGGCTGTCAGACCAATCTCTTTCAACCTGTTCCGTACTGTTTGACCGGATATCCTCAAAGTCCAGGCACCCTGGCTGCTGTGCTCCTCACCCATTGCAGTACGATCACGCAAATGTAGAACCCGGATGTACCGATCTTGGACTGTAGTGGTGACTCGAGGTCTGCTTGTACGGGGACGGTCATTTGTTATACCTGTTTGGTTGTAACGAGCTGCAAGCCGTGATATCGTGCTCAGACTAACATTCAGACGCCTGGCAACAGAAGATTGGTAATCTCAGCGTGCATTCTTTCAATGGCGATGTACCTTGTCGCAGAGTAGAGACGTGGCGTAGTGATTTGAACTTGAAACTCCTCTCAAAAGGAATGCCAATTTCCGAAAGTAATCTGGGTTTTATTGCCAGGCAGTGCATGCTCTTTGCTGCACAATTTCAACTGGAAGGTGATTTCTGTTGCGTTGTGGCGATGCCTTTTAATCCTTGTAAGAAATCTCATCAAAATCAACATTTTCAGGTAAAATCGATTTTTTACTTGTGCAATTGTGTAAAATCATGTTATCAACACTTTTGTTACATATTTTGACGATTGTTTGAACACAATAGGTAATTAATAGATTTTTTTAAATACAAATCGCCTATGCGTTTCTTTTGGGGATAGTATATATATTAATCAAATATTGCCGTCATCGGACACCAACATTGTACGTATTGGGCTATATTAATGGAAAACATTTATTCAATTAATGTATTCTCCCATTTCATAATATAAACTACCATGACACAGTTGTGTAGTAATAATAGTACCCAGGTAAAGGTTAACGTGACTATCATATAGTCGTGCACAAGTGTCAAATCAGGACTACCAGTACAGTCAGAATTGACACACTGACACCCGTGTCTGGGTAATTAAAATGACATAAAACCAAATCTGCAGTCAATATAAACTGAATGTATTAATACAGGAGTCACAAATTATATCACAGTGAACAGATAACTACATATTACAAGTGGGGTATGCAAGTGCAATATATAATGTGCACAGTATATCTTTATTTTAACTTTCACATTGTTAAGTAACTTGCATAGTCAGTCAATCCGTCATTAACCTGCAAGAACAAACATGCTTTGAAAAACAAGCTTCGACATTATTTGTCATACAAACACAAGCATGAATTCTACGCATATTTTTTTATTAATTTGGAAACTAGAACGGCCCTCATTATAAAACATGCCTCCGCCATGCACAGCAATCTGCTTTCACTATTACATTTTAAAGTACTAGTGTGTACTTGTGCTTTAATGTACTTTTCACCAAACCGTATGCAGATAGCCCTTGTGTCATACCTAACATAACCACCAAGTTTCATTCAAATCCATCCGTAACTTTTTGAGATATTATTCATGTTCTCTATGTATTTAACATTGCGATTATTTTCAAAGTACCTCTGTGTACATACACTTCAAAAACATAAACTGCAAAATAAAACCTTGAAAAAATGAATGAACGCAAAAGTTTGTAGGCGTATGTCAAATTAAGGATGCTTTGAGGGTTGAATATTGTTGGTTGGTTGTTGGTTTAGAAGAACATGTGTGAGCGAAGAATGCAATCATAAACGATTGAGTTTGAATGGTTTTATCGATCATGATTGTCATGATGAGCTTGACTAGTATGGAACACAACCAAAAGCCACTATTATTGCTTTTCAAGTGCAAAGCACGAGTACAACCTATGACTATAATGGACTCAAATGCATCTCGCAAATTAATTCAAGACCCTTGAAAATACTTGATGAGAAAATGGGACGCCTCAACGGTGCCACTGGACAATTACAAGTTGGCGAATCCAAGAGTGTTGTGGCGAGGACCTCCAGCATTCTTCCCAGCACAATAACTCATTTGTGGGATCGTTTTATGCATTCAATTTCGACAAATGACCATTCAAGACCAGGAAGACGTGAGTCACCACCCCTGCCCAAGATCACTACATCCGGGTAACCCACCTACGTGACTGCACAAGGAAGGTTTGAGCTCGGAGAATGTCCGACCAGACAATCAGGAACCGTCTCCGAGAGGCAGGTATGCGTGCCAGACGTCCAAAAGTTACCTCCTCTCTGACACGATTACATCAACGTCAGCGAGTCAGGTGGTGTAACGCGGTGTAGCCATGGAACCTTGGAAACTGGAGGCACATAAGGTTCAGTGATGAATCGCGGTATCCCATCGGAAGACGACGTCTACAGACGGAAGATCCAACTGCATCAGGCAAGTGGACAGATTTGGTGGAGATGGTTTGATGATGTGGGGAGCCATCTTATACACCTGCAGATCGGAATAAGTGCTCGTCCAAGGCAATCTTACGGCTGCTCAATATATCGACTAGTTTCTCTGTCCTCACGTGCATCGCCTTGTCGACCGCCAAAGTGAGCTCTACCACGCTAGACCTCACACAACATGTGCTGCAGTGGACTACCTGGACAATAACAACATCAATATCCTCCCCTGGCCCTCCAGATCTCCGGATCTAAAACCAATTGATTACATGTGGGTTCAGATAGGTAAACGTGTATGTCAATGTCGTAATCCGCAATTAAGGTTTTCCCAGAAAAGGTTGTTCAACATGCTGCAGGAGGAATGGAGAAGGATTCCACAACGAAACATCCAACAACTGGATTCTATCTGTGTCAAGGAGGTGCCGTGCAGTTCCAGCAGTAAGAGGTGGCCATGCAAGGCAGTAACGTCAGCGTCGTCCCTCGTGGACAGCAGTAATGACTATGATGACTATCATTCTTGTGAAATGTGCACGAGATACCAATGTTTTGCTCTCTACATAATTTCATTCCTGGGCCGTTTATTTTCGTTGATTTACAATACTGAATAAGACCAAATTGTCCAATGATATTTTGCTGTTGCGTTTCTTTTTATGAAGAGTATACTTTCTTCACCAACTAATTGATTTGTACCGGGGACATACCCAAAGAGATCCTGTAAGTTTCATTGAAATCCATCCGGTAGTTTTTGAGTAAAGATGCTAACACATAAATACACACACACACACACACACACACACACACACACACACACACACACACAGGGTTGAATGCATACCCTCTGCAACAAACCTTCGGTTTTGGCAGAAGCAATTATGACCATAGTGATTATTATGCATACATATATTATCAAGATCCATGATATATAATGGTAGTTGTAAAACACTTATCACAAGGTACATTTTGACATACTACATGCCTATGGTGTGATAGCTTTTTAAATATATGTTTTTCTCACATACATTGGTGTTGCAGCTCGATTATGCGTACCGATGTTCAGTTACCTCAGAATTACACTTATAATCATCAGAAAAAATGGTACCATAGTTTTTCTGAATCTATATGCAATACTGATCACAATTATCAGTAGTTCCAAAATTAACATGTACTTCCCACGGAAAGCATTTTCGCTACATAAGCCCCGTGCACTAGTTAGATAATTTAAACAGCCAAAGTGAGTTGTGATAGGTACGCTCAACTTCCCAGCGTAGACACCTGATTGGATAAAATACAACCAAGGGAGGTAATAAATCATCGGCTCGAGCCGTAGATGCATCCAGGGTATAGTGGAGATTTATCGGAACGTTTACCCTGGAGATTATCGAGGATGCCTCTGCATTGGCTTGGAGATAACTTCAATGGTGAAGCGGTATTCAGCATTTCATTCTCAAAAGGCAAGTAATCAAACAAGAGAATGACCCTGCGTGTTTACGCCACAGGAAAACCATTTTCATACAAACATTTCTTTTTGACATTGTTTTTTATCTGTTTATCTAAATAAACGCACTCGAAAAATCTAGAAAACAATACCAACAGTATTTTGTTGTAAACACAAGGAAATACCTCGGGGTATAAATAGTTTCATAAACCTTGGAAACGTCGTCTGGTCAACAAGATGTTTTTGCTTTGTTTGCTATTCTTGCAGTTCTTGGTCCCGTCCCACTAAGTGATCAGGGCCCTTATTCTCCGAAACGTTCGTAGCGCTAAGAATTCTTAACTTTGTTCGTAGCCAATGTTTAAAGAATGGGCTTAAGAAGTTCGTAGGGCTATGGATGTTTCGAGAATAGGTAGCCAGACCTGTAACATAGGCTACCGGTTGTCATAGTGCTGAGGTCGCTTCGTGGGACGGGTCATTGGCAATTTTGACTCGAGACCAGAAGATACCCACATTAAAGTGCATAAAACCACTACAGTCAAGGGGTGACTCTGAGGGTGTGGGTTCGAACTCCCGGATGCGACTCATCTCAACAAAAGTACTAGAATCGGACCTTACTAAGAAAGTGAAGTCCTCAATATAACATATCCTACATTTGACCACTTTCTAAAAATGGAATTGTGCAGTCATGCTGATGGTTTTGTTAATCTGCTGTCATAACATCTTGTGTATGTATATTCTCACCACTTTGTGGTAGTCATTCTTAGCTTGATAACGGTCTACATCGAAACATAGCTCTATGCATAGCCAATAAGATGGCATAGGCGGATCCAGAAGGGGTGCAGGGGTGCGCACGCTCCCTTTGTCCTGAAAGTTTTAAAATGACCATTGAAACTCGGATGAAAATGGCATGTGCACCCTCCCTTTTCTCATGTATGCACCCCCAACCCCATCCCCCACCTTTCTAAAAAAGCTGTATCCGCCACTAGATGTTATCCATAAAGATGTATGCTATATTATTGACCCACCGACTTCTAGAATGAGGGATGCAACAATTTATGTGAAGAATCGTCACATGTCGCTTGCCTGTGGCAGACCTGCTAGGTTGAGCGCCTTTAAAGGTCAATTCTGCTCAATTTAGACATTGTCGCGGTCAATAGCGCTTTTGGTCGGAGGTGCATCAAGCTGAATTTGCCTCTCAGGTGAAATTTTATCACTACAATATACACTTGTATCATTCCATATGATCTTTCAGGGAATGATACCTAGTCTCTTTGTATACTGGCAATACAATATCATGGGCGGATCCAAGAATTTTGAAAGGGGAGGGAGGGGTCAGGGGTTCGAAACCCTGAACGAACTCCCTGAACCCCCTCTGAACCCCAATGAAAGTGAACAATGGACATAGCTGTGGCAAATTAGATGTCACGTGAGCATGTGGGTAATCCGAAATAATTGACCCGCTTTAGTTCCTGGTTAAATCGAGTGTTCTGTGAATCTCTAATTTAAACACATTCTGGGTTTTACTGATAAAAAATGTTAATAATCTGATACACTTTCAATTCAACACAATTTTACACGTAAGAATAGAGCAGTCTTGTGCATAATATGGAATTGCAGGATCGGAAAATCCATTCTAAACTCTGTCAAAAGAAACGCAACCCCTGTCCTCAGATATGAAAAATTCGTTTGAATGAAGTTATTGCTTCCAAACTAAATTTTATTCGAATGTATTGAAATGATACACGTAATTAATGAAGATTACCATCCAAACAACTGCATTTTGTACGCATAAGTGTATTTTATTGCTTATTCCGTCACAACGCATGAAATGACCCTCATGGTGACTTCGCACAAAAAAACACATGCAAATCATGAAAAGGCAGTTAATGTAGGGTGTATATAAAAAAGCCCATGTGCTTCCGTATTATATTCATTCATTTGTCGCCGAAAAGCTGTGTTAAAATGCCACGATTGAGTGCTGCCGACCGAAATATCGCCATTGGTCGTGTTCAAGCCGGAGAAAGTTTTGGAACTGTTGCACGGCACCTAAATGTTCACAAAACAACGATATCCCGACTTTGGAGCCGCTACAACAACTTCAATTTGACCAACGATCGCCCGAGAAGTGGAAGGCCAAGAATCACGACGCCCCTTCAAGATCGGTACATCCGGGTCCATCACCTGCGTAATCGGCATGCCCTACCAACCGTGACTGCCACACAAATACCAGGTTTGAGGAGAGTGTCAGCTCAAACGATTAGGAACCGTCTGAAAGAAGCGGGTTTACGTGCCTGTAGACCAGTTGTTGGACCTGTACTACGCCCCCTACATCGACGCCGACGACTCAGGTGGTGCAACAACGTAAGGATACGGACTTTACAAAACTGGAGGCGAATCTGGTTTTCTGATGAATCACGTTTTCTTTTGCAACGTCACGACGGAAGACAGCGTCTGTATAGGAGACGTCATAAACGTTTTGCGCCCATCTGCGTCCGACAGGTGGACAGATTTGGCGGAGAAAGCGTCATGGTTTGGGGAACCATCTCATACAACCAGAAATCAGACTTGGTGATCGTTCCAGGGAACCTGACAGCCCAACGTTACATCAACCACGTGTTAGAGCTTCACCTTCTCCCAATTATTGACCAACAGACACAGATTTTTCAACGGGACAACGCCCGGCCTCATACTGCACGTGCAACAATGAACTTTCTGCAGAATTCCAACGTCAATGTCTTGCCGCGACCCTCTAAATCACCAGACCTCAACCCTATTGAACACCTGTGGGATACTCTGGATCGACGCGTACGTCAACGTCAGCCGCCGCCACAGACGCTGCAACAGCTCGCCGTTGCACTGCAGGAGAGTGGAGAGCCATTCCCCAGGAAAGAATCCGGCGTCTTATCCGTTCTTGTCAAAGGAGATGCCGTGCAGTGATTGCAGCGCGTGGTGCTCATACGAGATACTGAGAAAGACGCCCCCTGGTGACAAACTGGTGTCTGCGAGATGACTTTTGAAATGACAATTTTAAACATGCCCATCTGGGTTATTATTCTGCCAAATTTCAGACTTCTGTCTTAAATAATAAAAATGCCGTGTCGTCCTAAAACTTCAGATCAAAATCTCTAAAATACAGGGGTTGCGTTTCTTTTTGACAGAGTTTATTTTAGTAGCACCCATTAGCTTTTCCTGGAATTTAGCGATGGGTCGACTGGTTTCCTAGAATCGGTTCGAGGGGCGTGTTCAGTAACAGTACCACGAGTGTTGAGCGTACATGTTGTACCGTCTTAGTAATCACTGTGCGCACCCACGTGCGCTTATAGACTCTGGCAATGTTTCCTCCGTCCGTCACTAGTACTTCATTTCCAGACATGGTTAGACATGACAAAGACCTTTGATATGAAATGTCATATACTGGGGATGACAGTGTAATGATAAGAGACTTGCACACAGTCTACATGTATATACTGAGCCAGGCGAGCCGGACCGCCCCCTACCCGGATGTGCCTGCCTTGCACGTGCTTCTCCTACCCGGATGTGCCTGCCTGATCTCTACTAGAAGCAAGTCTCTAATATATGGAGGTATGCCCCAAATCACCTCACTAAATATCTTAATTTAAAGATATGTGCCTCCAACGTTTCCTTTTTTGAAGGCTTTTCTTGTTTCATTAACTGTAAAACTGGCAACGTTGCTAACCGTGAGTAGTTTCCCTTTTATAAACAACAGAAAAGTATATGTAATTTTGCGGACGACACTATCGACCGCCGTACTTACATTATCGTACATCCGATACGTAGTCGTTACGTACTGGTCACAGGTCTGCGACTGCTGTGGTGTGTTGAGCAGGGTGCACGTGAAAGGCGGATCACGTGACAGTCGAAAGATGCACACTGACCATGCGTAGTACACGTAATAGCGCATTGGGCCCGTGACTCAACCTCTCGCTCCGCTATCTTGAAGTCCGAGATGTTAGAAGCTAGGATGCAGTGGAAAACTTCCCTGTACTCGGCCGTCTCGAGGCACCCGTGGCAGACGCCCACCAGACCTGCCACAGCTAGGATCACAAGAACCATGTCTGCAAAAATACCCATGCTCATAGTTATAAACACACTATACTTGCACGCACATATATCTAAGGGTTGACACTTTGTGAGCAAGGATGAATTTGTATATGTACGAGTTACATGAGCTCAAGAATGTAGTTTAATAAGCAAAGGCATAAAATTTATTACAAATATTTTTATGTGTAAGTGAAAAAAGTCCGATAGGTACGAAAACCATTGTGACCAGGGGACCGTTTATTATTTATGGCTAGGGGGGGTGTGATGATTTTTATGGAGAAGCATATACAATGTGAATAACCCTCCCCTCCTCCCCCCCCCATAAATTTATGTATAAAATAAGAGACACACACACACCCTGCATATCATGTACAAAATCAATTGACTCCCTCCCCTTCCCACAATTTCTAAGCGTATTTTTAAACATATTTTTATGTACAAAATAGCTGACCCCCTAGTACGTGTGTACAAAATTGCTGACACCCCCACCCCCCACCCTTAAAATGCATGATCACCACCACCAAACACCACACACCCACACACACTCACACACTCACACACCCACACACCCACAGCCCATCCCTAGCCATTACTTATGAACGCTCCTAAGCCATACGATTAGTTCACTGCAGGGGTTAAAAGGTAGAGCTACAGTGCGACACAAAAAGAAGATTGTTCCATGACATTTCAGTGCTGTGATCAGATTAGGCTACGGCATGATCTTTTCAGTTTCGTTTTGTTGCAGTGCAATGTTGCATTATCATTATCACAAACGCACTTAACAACGGGGCATGGACTAGCCATGTTGTTCAGGTGTTCGTCTGTCACGTGCAAGGTCAAGATTCGATTCCCAATGTTAGTACAAGACATTTGACAGTGACAATCGCTGGACATTTGTGAGTTGACCCACATATAGTGTACGGTCATAAACCCTGCTGCTGCCACTTACTTGACCACTGTTTTGTCATTTGTGATTGTAAACCTAAAACTGTGATTTACTCATTGAGCTAATGCGGTAATTGAAACCGCACTAACAGTAGCTTTACGGATACGCTGGAGCAACTAAACAATATATCCTCAAAGGCCAAAAGGAAATAGCGGCACTACAGACGTTCGGCTATATGTTTGGGTATTGTTTATTTATTTATTTTGTTGTTGTTGTTATTTTGCGGGTTTTCCTTTTTGTATTTTTTTTTGGTGTTGATTTGTTTTGTTTTTGTTTTGTTTTTTGTTTTTGTTTTGCTCTTGTTTGAATAGATTTCTTTAATTCAAACCCCGTCGTGTTTTTGTTTTGTTTTGTTTCGTTTTGTTTTGTTTTTTTCTTAAGTGTTTTTGATTAAATTAATTTTTTGGTTTTGTTTTTGGTTTTGTTTTGCTCTCTTAAGTGTTTGAATAGATTTTAATTCAAAACCCGTCGTGTTTTTTGTTTTTTGTTTTGTTTTCGTTTTTGTGTTTTTTTTTGCTCTTTAAGTGTTTGAATAGATTAAATTAATTCAAACCCCGTCTACAAAATAATTGAATATATCTAGAATAACATGCAAGGAGGCCAGTAAACTGTTAAAAACTTGGTTCCTATTGGACATAATATATTTGCAATAATATTTCTGGTTGATTTTAAAATTGCAGCACATTCTTCTAACTAAAATAAGGAACATTTAAGTATGAAATCGTATCGTGTTATCGCAGTTCAGGTCGATAAAGTCATGTCCCCTTTCAGCCACAATATAACTATGTTCTTTCGCACCCTGTATTCATTTTGTCGACGTAGTTGTTTCCTCCGTTTTGCACATTATCTCACAGGAAATGACCAAGCTCTCACGAACATATTGAGTAAAAGTACTCTTACAAAACAATTACATCTCTATCAGTGAGTGAGTGTTGTTTTACGCCTCTTTTAGTAATATTCCAACAACATTACGGTTTGGAACACTAGAAATAGTCTTCACACATTTTTCAAAAAAACAAATTGTATTTTTGGTCCCGAACCATTTGCTGTATATTTTATCATATAAAACTGATGGGAAAATGACGGTTTTATGTTACTTGGAAAATGTGTCATTACGAAGAAAGCGACTGAAAGTTTTACGTAAAAGGTATTGTACAAAAGGTTTTGATATTTCAATCATTGAAATAGAAAACGAAGCTAAATGTATAGTCTCTTATTTAGTTTCGCGAAATATCTTCGCATATTTTGTCTATCGTGATTTTAAAGCTCTTTTGGAACGTCTTTATAATTTCGAGAGCTAGTTTGTGTGATGATATTCGGACATTTAGTAAACTGCCTAAGTTAATCCCATTTTACGCAATGACTGTAACATATACATCGTTAGTTACAATTAGACCTGCACCTATGAACCCCTGAAATAACTCGACATTCCAAACCCAGCGACAAAACCCAGCTAGACGTTGATAAACGCGCTGGAATTATACGGAGCACAACACACCGAAACCTACCTGGTCACCTGGTCGTGGTCATCTGCCACCCTCGTTCAGCTTCAGGCCTTCGCAATATTTTTTGGCAACTGGCAACACAGCGGGAGTTTTTCTATTTACAGTTAGTGCTTATGTTTTTCTCAAGTACATGTTTCACGCTGTGAAAATATTATTTTTCTTAATATCTTCTGTTCTGTATATCGTCTTTGAAGTGTCTTCTGCGCATTACTGGATCAATGACATTCTGTCCTATCTTCACTGCGGGACTGGCCGTCGATACACCAATAAACTACTTCCGGTTCTTTAAGTACCCAATCAATGCCACTTTTAATCTAGTAGAATATTTGTGTGGCAAGTGAGCCAGATAGGTCATTGCAGTCGTCTATGATTGACGATGTATTCACCATACATTAACCGGATTCTATTGCTTCCAGCAATATTAGCCGTTTTACCTGTGTTTGTTTACGGATATTGAAAAAGTTCGTCAAAGAATTGTTAATTTACAGCGCAAGTTATGCCCATGGCTATCTCCTGGACTGTACGCCATGTTTCCATTGTCGGTACAGCCCTAGACGTTGCAGTTACAGCCCTGTTTGAAACAATCATTTACACCATGGAGTGTTATACTATTCTGCTTGATACGATAAAACCGTTATAGCTAAAATGGATAGAATTATCATTCAAACGCCCGCATGTTATCAGAAATGAGCGGGCCACTGTAACTTGATAATGCTCCCAAATTGCTTGACGACGGGTCATTATCATGCCCGTTGTTAGGTGACGTCATAAGGAGCACAGCTCTTGATGTTCAATCACCTACGGCTCGTTTAAACTTGGGTTCAATATTGACGATATTTCTGACTCAAATTCGTCACATGTACCTTTGCCATTATGCACTTTCTTGCTGGTGCCAACCTGCCTAACTCCACAGTGTCCCAATCAAGCAATATTAATTTATTAGATGGCAAGGCATAAAACACTTCTCCAGATATCATAAATTTATTTTATTAATTTTGTTACGTTTTCAAAAACCTAGGAGCGTCGTTACGGTGTCCTTTTCGAGTAAAATATCCGTGTACTAAGCGCATCAATCTCATCCAAGTGAGTGAGTGAGTGAGTTGAGTTTTACGCCGCACTCAGCAATATTCCAGCTATATGGCGGCGGTCTGTAAATAATCGAGTCTCGACCAGACAATCCAGTGATGAACAGCATGAGCATCAATCTGCGCAATTGGGAACTGATGACATGTGTCAACCAAGTCCAGTGAGCCTGACCACCCCGATCCCGTTAGTCGCCTCTTACGACAAGCATAGTCGCCTTTTGTGGCAAGCATGGGTTATTGAAGACCTATTCTACCCCGGATCTTCACGGGTCATCTCCTCCATTAAGCATAATCCCCACATTCAGAAGAATGAAATTATGTCTCAGTTTGACGTTTCTAGAGATACAGGGTTAACAGGGTTCTGATACAATACACACGATACCTATTATTGGCCACGACCTTAAGCATTTTAGCCTTAAACACTCAGGCAACCATCGTAAATATATTTAAACCAATTGTAAGTTTAAATGTTAAAACTGTCCAATACAATCTGAAAGTGTTCTCTGGAAAATATGCATGTGCGTTTGTTTTTCAGTAATTTCGATTTATTGCTTGTATACAAATATGTTCTTTCTCGTCACGTATTGTCGTCTGTTGTTATTGCAGGCATATTGTTTCATTCGTCATTAAGTTTGGTTGCATAAAATTCTGCTGTGCCGTGGCAGTATTCTCGAGATTTTTTGCTTTCATAATTTTCACAGACAATGACCGTTTTGTGTTCTAAGGTAATAAATGAGTGAGCGCGCCGTTATGAACAGTATTTGTGTGCGTGCTTGCATGCATGCATGCATGCGTGCGTGCATGCGTGCATGCGTGATTCTATTAGTCAGGAGGTATACTGGTTTTATAGTGATACAACACTGAGATACCGTGCTGCCTACAGCATGTATACATCATTGGTCATAGCATGCTGACATTGACCCTACCGGTCCAGGTTTTATCCCTTAATGCCGACCGCCAGCCAGGACAACAAAAACCAACTTTTCATGTATTGGCTTGCCTTGGACAGGGATCGAACAACTCCGCTGTACCGGCAAACGCTGTACACACGCCCTCAGCAATATTCCAGCTATATGGTGGCAGTCTGTAAATAATACTCTGGACCAGACAATCCAGTGATCAACATCATGAGCATCAATCTACGCAATTGGGATGCGATGACATGTGTCAACCAAGCGTGCTTTAAAACCCGATCCCGTTAGTCGCATCTTACGACAAGTAAGACCAATTCTAACCC